TTCACATTGACCAAATATTATTATACATATTCACCAAATATTATTATTCACATTCACCAAATATTATTATTCACATTCACCAAATATTATTATTCACATTGACCAAATATTATTATTCACATTGATCAAATATTATTATTCACATTGACCAAATATTATTATACATATTCACCAAATATTATTATTCACATTCACCAAATATTATTATTCACGTTGACCAAATATTATTATTCACATTCACCAAATATTATTATTCACATTGACCAAATATTATTATTCACATTGACCAAATATTATTATTCACATTGACCAAATATTATTATTCATTTCCATCAAATTCTGGGATTCGCTCTTTCTATGGTTTAAAAAAATAAAAACTCGTGCAAATCCATTAAAATGTGCAGCTTAATCAAGAACTAGAGAAACTGATTCCTGTGAAATTGTGGTGAATACTTGTTGCAGAAGAACTAGCTGAAAAAACAGCTAAAATGAGCTAAAGCCATGCTGAAATGTTGCTGAAATGGAAGAACAAGCCTAATTTATCAGAAGGCAGAAAGAATTAGGTTTAAATTATCAGACATGAAAAAGGAAATTAGCAAAAAAAATAAAAAACTGAAATGAGCAAAATATAGCTGAAAATAGCTGAAAAGGCAGAAAAAGCTTAAACTACCAGAAGGAAGCAGAAAAGGAGCTGAAATAAGCTAAAAAATGTGGAATTACTTGAAAAAGCTCAAATTAGCACAAAAACAAATTAATAGTAGCTGGAATAGCAGAAAAAGCTAAAAGGAGCATAACAAGCTCAAATTAGAAGAAATATGTTAGTTACCACGAAAACTGGAATTTATCTGAAAACAGCTGAAATTAGCTAAAAAAATGCAAAAAAAAATCTGAAAAGGTAAAACAAGCTTAAATTAGTAGAACGAAGTTAGAAGAAGTACAAAATGTTGTAGTTAGCAGAAAAAAGCAGAAAGGAGCACAAAACAGCTAAAAAAAACCATCTGAAAGTAGCTGAAAAAATAAATCTGAAGTCCCTCAGAGATACGGATGTGCACATCAGATCACCCACAGATACGCTCATATTTCAGCTCACAATGTTCTCTTCAGAACAGGAAGTGGCTTTTTAAC